CCTTCACATGTGCGGATCCTAGCGCGTTTTGAGGCCAGAAGCGCTCGCAATGAGCGTTTTTCTTCTACCAAGTCACGTGGCTGTGCTTGTCTAAGCCTCTTGCCAAGCCAGCAAGGGCGTGGAAGGGATGCGAGCATCATTGGTCATCGGCCCTTGAGAATGAAGAGCGCTCGCTGCACTTCCTCCACATGTGCAGATCCTAGCGCGTTTTGAGGCTAGAAGCGCTCGCAGTGAGCGATTTTCTTCTACCAGGTCACGTGGCTGCGCTTGTCTAGGCCTCTTGCCAAGCCAGCAAGGGCGTGGAAGGGTTGCGAGCATCATTGGTCATCGGCCCTTGAGAATGAAGAGCGCCCGCTGCAGTTCCTCCACATCTGCGGCCTAGCGCGTTTTGAGGCTGGAAGCGCTCGCAGTGAGCGTTTTTCTTCTACCAGGTCACGTGGCTGCGCTTATCTAGGCCTCTTGCCAAGCCAGCAAGGGCGTGGAAGGGTTGCGAGCATCATTGGTCGTCGGCCCTTGAGAATGAAGAGCGCCCGCTGCACTTCCTCCACATCTGCGGATCCTAGCGCGTTTTGAGGCTGGAAGCGCTCGCAGTGAGCGTTTTTCTTCTACCAGGTCACGTGGCTGCGCTTATCTAGGCCTCTTCCCAAGCCAGCAAGGGCGTGGAAGGGTTGCGAGCATCATTGGTCGTCGGCCCTTGAGAATGAAGAGCGCCCGCTGCACTTCCTGCACATGTGCGGATCCTAGCGCGTTTTGAGGCTAGAAGCGCTCGCAGTGAGCGTTTTTCTTCTACCAGGTCACGTGGCTGCGCTTGTCTAGGCCTCTTGCCAAGCCAGCAAGGGCGTGGAAGGGTTGCGAGCATCATTGGTCATCGGCCCTTGAGAATGAAGAGCGCCCGCAGCACTTCCTCCACATCTGCGGCCTAGCGAGTTTTGAGGCTGGAAGCGCTCGCAGTGAGCGTTTTTCTTCTACCAGGTCACGTGGCTGCGCTTGTCTAGGCCTCTTGCCAAGCCAGCAAGGGCGTGGAAGGGTTTCGAGCATCATTGGTCATCGGCCCTTTAGAATGAAGAGCGCCCGCTGCACTTCCTCAACATGTGCGGATCCTAGCGCGTTTTGAGGCTAGAAGCGCTCGCAGTGAGCGTTTTTCTTCTACCAGGTCACGTGGCTGCGCTTGTCTAGGCCTCTTGCCAAGCCAGCAAAGGCGTGGAAGGGTTGCGAGCATCATTGGTCGTCGGCCCTTGAGAATGAAGAGCGCCCGCTGCACTTCCTCCACATGTGCGGATCCTAGCGCGTTATGAGGCTAGAAGCGCTCGCAGTGAGCGTTTTTCTTCTACCAGGTCACGTGGCTGCGCTTGTCTAGGCCTCTTGCCAAGCCAGCAAGGGCGTGGAAGGGTTGCGAGCATCATTGGTCATCGGCCCTTGAGAATGAAAAGCGCCCGCTGCACTTCCTCCACATGTGCGGATCCTAGCGCGTTATGAGGCTAGAAGCGCTCGCAGTGAGCGTTTTTTTCTACCAGGTCACGTGGCTGCGCTTGTCTAGGCCTCTTGACAAGCCAGCAAGGGCGTGGAAGGGTTGCGAGCATCATTGGTCATCGGCCCTTGAGAATGAAGAGCGCCCGCTGCACTTCCTCCACATGTGCGGATCCTAGAGCGTTTTGAGGCTGAAAGCGCTTGCAATGAGCGTTTTTCTTCTACCAGGTCACGTGGCTGCGCTTGTCTAGGCCTCTTGCCAAGCCCGCAAGGGCGTGGAAGGGTTGCGAGCATCATTGGTCATCAGCCCTTGAGAATGAAGAGCGCTCGCTGCACTTCCTGCACATGTGCGGATCCTAGAGCGTTTTGAGGCTGAAAGAGCTCGCTGTGAGCGTTTTTCTTCCACCAAGTCACGTGGCTGCGCTTGTCTAGGCCTCTTGCCAAGCCAGCAAGGGCGTGGAAGGGTTGCGAGCATCATTGGACATCGGCCCTTGAGAATGAAGAGCGCCCGCTGCACTTCCTGTACATGTGCGGATTCTAACGCGTTTTAAGGCTAGAAGCGCTCGCAGTGAGCGTTTTTCTTCTACCAGGTAACGTGGCTGCGCTTGTCTAGGCCTCTTGCCAAGCCAGCAAAGGCGTGGAAGGGTTGCGGGCATCATTGGTCATCGGCCCTTGAGAATGAAGAGCGCCCGCTGCACTTCCTTCACATGTGCGGATCCTAGCGCGTTTTGAGGCCAGAAGCGCTCGCAATGAGCGTTTTTCTTCTACCAGGTCACGTGGCTGTGCTTGTCTAGGCCTCTTGCCAAGCCAGCAAGGGCGTGGAAGGGATGCGAGCATCATTGGTCATCGGCCCTTGAGAATGAAGAGCGCTCGCTGCACTTCCTCCACATGTGCAGATCCTAGCGCGTTTTGAGGCTAGAAGCGCTCGCAGTGAGCGATTTTCTTCTACCAGGTCACGTGGCTGCGCTTGTCTAGGCCTCTTGCCAAGCCAGCAAGGGCGTGGAAGGGTTGCGAGCATCATTGGTCATCGGCCCTTGAGAATGAAGAGCGCCCGCTGCAGTTCCTCCACATCTGCGGCCTAGCGCGTTTTGAGGCTGGAAGCGCTCGCAGTGAGCGTTTTTCTTCTACCAGGTCACGTGGCTGCGCTTATCTAGGCCTCTTGCCAAGCCAGCAAGGGCGTGGAAGGGTTGCGAGCATCATTGGTCGTCGGCCCTTGAGAATGAAGAGCGCCCGCTGCACTTCCTCCACATCTGCGGATCCTAGCGCGTTTTGAGGCTGGAAGCGCTCGCAGTGAGCGTTTTTCTTCTACCAGGTCACGTGGCTGCGCTTATCTAGGCCTCTTGCCAAGCCAGCAAGGGCGTGGAAGGGTTGCGAGCATCATTGGTCGTCGGCCCTTGAGAATGAAGAGCGCCCGCTGCACTTCCTCCACATCTGCGGATCCTAGCGCGTTTTGAGGCTAGAAGCGCTCGCAGTAAGCGTTTTTCTTCTACCATGTCACGTGGCTACGGTTGCCTAGGCCTCCTGCCAAGCCAGCAAGGGCGTGGAAGGGTTACGAGCATCATTGGTCATCGGCCCTTGAGAATGAAGAGCGCCCGCTGCACTTCTTCACATGCGCGGATCCTAGCGCGTTTCGAGGCTAGAAGCGCTCGCAGTGAGCGTTTTTTTTCTACCAGGTCACGTGGCTGCGCTTGTCTAGGCCTCTTGCCAAGCCAGCAAAGGCGTGGAAGGGTTGCGGGCATCATTGGTCATCGGCCCTTGAGAATGAAGAGCGCCCGCTGCACTTCCTTCACATGTGCGGATCCTAGCGCGTTTTGAGGCCAGAAGCGCTCGCAATGAGCGTTTTTCTTCTACCAGGTCACGTGGCTGTGCTTGTCTAAGCCTCTTGCCAAGCCAGCAAGGGCGTGGAAGGGTTGCGAGCATGATTGGTCATCGGCCCTTGAGAATGAAGAGCGCTCGCTGCACTTCCTCCACATGTGCAGATCCTAGCGCGTTTTGAGGCTAGAAGCGCTCGCAGTGAGCGTTTTTCTTCCACCAGGTCACGTGGCTGCGCTTGTCTAGGCCCCTTGCCAAGCCAGCAAGGGCGTGGAAGGGTTGCGAGCATCATTGGTCATCGCCCCTTGAGAATGAAGAGCGCCCGCTGCACTTCCTCCACATGTGCGGATCCTAGCGCGTTTTGAGGTTAGAAGCGCTCGCAGTGAGCGTTTTTCTTCTACCAGGTCATGTGGCTGCACTTGTCTAGGCCTCTTGCCAAGCCAACAAGGGCGTGGAAGGGTTGCGAGCATCATTGGTCATCAGCCCTTGAGAATGAAGAGCGCCCGCTGCACTTCCTGCACATGTGCGGATCCTAGAGCGTTTTGAGGCTGAAAGCGCTCGCAGTGAGCGTTTTTCTTCCACCAAGTCACGTGGCTGCGCTTGTCTAGGCCTCTTGCCAAGCCAGCAAGGGCGTGGAAGGGTTGCGAGCATCATTGGTCATCGGCCCTTGAGAATGAAGAGCGCCCGTTGCACTTCCTGTACATGTGCGGATTCTAACGCGTTTTAAGGCTAGAAGTGTCAAACATTATATAGGCTACAGTGGGTTAGCCTATAGGGGGTACACAATTCTAGGGTTAGGTACTTGTACTGATTTCACTGTTAGTTCAATCATTCCTGTCTGTTGATTCCGACATGGTTTCAGAGCAGGTCCTTCGCTAGGACCGTTCTTAGGGCCCACCGCTACCTACCTACCTACCTACCTACCTACCTACCTACCTACCTACCGTGCGCCCTCGTGCGCCTACGCGCCCCAGTGCGCCTCCTACCTACCGCGCGCGCGCAGCCCGCCAGCCAATCGCGCGCGGCTCGTTTTCTATTTTTTTTTTTTTTTTTTTTTTTTTTTAACCGCGCGCGACCCGCTAGCTGCCCGCGCGCGGCCGATTTCGTTTAAGCGCGACCGGCTAGCCGCCCGTGCGCCGCTCGCACCGCTATAGCGCAGCCCGCAGCGGCCCCGCAGGCCTGCACATTGCCGCCCGCCCGCTGCAGCGCCCGCCCGCTCGTCGCCCGCTGCTGCTGCCGCCCGCTCGTCGCTCGCTGCAGCTGCCGCCCGCTCGTCGCTCGCTGCAGCGCCTGCCCGCTCGTCGCCCGCTGCAGCTGCCGCCCGCTCGTCGCCCGCTGCTGCTGCCGCCCGCTCGTCGCACGCTGCAGCTGCCGCCCGCTCGTCGCCCGCTGCTGCTGCCGCCCGCTCGTCGCCCGCTGCAGCTGCCGCCTGCTTGTCGCCCGCTGCAGCTGCCGCTACCACGGGCCCGCCGCTGCAGCTACCGCCTGCGCGTCGCCCGCAGCCGCTCCCGCTCGTGCGCCGCGGCCGCTACCGCCCGTGCGCTCCTGTTGCGCCTGCTACCGCTGCCGCTGCTGCACTCGCTCCCACTGCGGCCGCCGCTTCTGCGCCCACTGCCGCTCCCGCCCGTGCGCATCAGCTGCTGCCGCCCGTGTGCTGACACTGCCCACAGCTTCCCTGCGGCCTCATTCTTACTGTTTCTACCGCTACTGCTACTGCCGCTATGGCTACTCCTACTGTACTTACTTTCGATGCTGAGGGCCGTCCAGTGAAGTTCGAAACCTGGCTCGATGACCTCCACCTCTTTCTACAGCTCACTGCTAAGGAGGACGTTTCACTGTACGATCACGCCCTAGGCAACGCTACTGCCCCTCCTACCACTGCTGACAGCACTCAGCGCTCACAGTGGCAGACTCGTGACGCCCACGCTCGCTTCGCTATTCGTAACTCCCTACCGATCGACGAGCGCGAGCACTTTGGCCAGCACAAAACTGCTAAGGACCTGTACACTGCTGTAGTCGCTCGCTACTCCTCCCCCGCTTCTGCCACACTAGGCCGCCTCACTCTCCCCTACCTGTTCCCCGACCTGGCCTCCTTTCAGACAGTTGCTGACCTCATCACCCACCTTAAGACCAGTGAGGCCCGCTTTCGCGCTGCTATGCCTGACGAGTTCCTCACCAGCAACCCCCCCCCGCTCTGGATCACTCTCTACCACATAGTCACCCGCCTCCCTGACTCTCTGCGCACAGTCAGGGACCACTTCCTCTCTCGCTCCCCCACTAAACTCACCGTTGCCCTCCTCGAGAAGGAACTGCTTGCAGCTGAGGCGAGCATCGTCGCTGTAGGCACCTCTCGTGGCGACCCCCGCACCCCGTTCTTTGAGGGGTGTTCCCCTTCCCCTCTCCTCCCCTCTGTCGCCTCTGCTGCTGCTGTCGACCTCCTTGGTGCTGAGAAGGTCGGGGCCGCGTCTGCTTCGAGCGGGCGCCGCAAGAGCAAAGGGGGCAAGGGTGGAGGTGGCGGCGGAGGAGGTGGGGGTGGAGGCGGTGGGAGTGGAGGAGCGGCTGGGGAGGCTAGTGGCGGCAGTGGGGGTGGTGACAGCAGCGGCGGGAGTGGCGGCAGGGGTGGAGGCGGCAGCGGAGGCGGAGGTGGTCGTGGCAGCGGCAGGGGTGGAGGTGGCCGAGGCGGTGGCGGCGGCAGTGGTGGTCGTGGAGGCGCTGGCGGTGGCCAGAGTCAGCAGCCCGCCCCGTCGCTTCAGGCCGCCCGTGAGTGGTATGCGCAGCGTGGCTTTACCTGCACGTACGTCATTCGCACTGGTGACCGCACTGGCCAGCAGTGTGGGAGGCCGCATCCCACACAGCGCTGTTTCGCGCGCCTTACTGACGCGTGGCGTGCCCAGTTTCCTGATGCCACTGAGCTGCCCCGCTGGGCTGATCTGGAGAAGAAGGGAGTTGATATCTGGGCTTTAGACTTTGATGCTATTCTCACTGCCATGTATGCGATGTTTACTAGTGGAGAGGGTGCTCAGTACTTGCGTGTTCCGCCCGACCCGGGCATTCAGACCAGTCCGGCTGCCGCTCTAGGTGCTAGTGAGTCTGCTGCCCCAGGTCCTGGTGAGGCTGCTGCTCTAGGTGCTAGTGAGTCCGTGCCCTCTGGTACTGAGTCGACTGCAGCACTGCACACCTTCACACTGGACTCAGGTGCTTCTCGCTGTTTCTTTCGTGACCGCACTGTCCTTGAGCCGCTTGCTCGGCCAGTTGCTGTCTCCCTCGCTGACCCCTCTGGGGGTCCGGTCGTTGCGACCTCCTCCACTGTCCTTCCTTGTCCTGCGGTCCCGTCAGGCACACTGTCAGGTCTCTACCTCCCCTCGTTCTCTACGAACTTGGTGGCAGGTAGTGCGCTCCAGGACGGGGGTGTTCACCAGTTCACCCCTGCTTACGAGCGCGTGACGCACTGCACGTGTGCTCGGACGGGCCGTCACCTGGCTACCTTCACTCGGCAGCCGGGGTCGGACCTGTACACACTGACCACTGAGTCCCCTCAGGTAGCTGCGTCCGCGTCTGCGTCTGCGTCAGGTCAGCTGTCCGCCCCCTGCTCGTGTCGCTCTCTGGCGCATGAGACTGTCCTCTGGCACCACCGCCTTGGTCACCCGTCTGTGCAGCGCCTTCGGGCCATGCACAAACGGGACCTTGTTGCTGGTCTTCCCAGGGTTCTCCCTCCCCTCCCACCCTCGCCTGCTCCTCCCTGTCTTCCCTGTGTCGAGGGGCGGCAGCGCGCCGCTCCTCACTCCTCCTCCTTTCCCCCGACGACTGCTCCTTTGCAGACGCTCCACATGGACGTGTGGGGCCCAGCCCGCGTCCGTGGTCAGGGTCAGGAGAGGTACTTCCTGATTGTTGTTGACGACTTCTCGCGCTACACCACGGTCTTCCCCTTGCGCACCAAGGGTGAGGTCCCTGATGTCTTGATCCCCTGGATCCGCAGATCTCGTCTCCAGCTCAGTGAGCGTTTCCGCTCCGACTTCCCTGTCCTGCGTCTGCACTCTGACAGAGGTGGGGAGTTTTCCTCTGGCCTCTTGGAGGCCTTCTGTCAGCAGGAGGGCATTGAGCAGTCGTTCACGCTTCCGGCCTCTCCACAGCAGAATGGGGTTGCTGAGCGCCGCATTGGCTTGGTCATGGAGGTAGCTCGTACCTCCTTGGTTCATGCGGCTGCCCCCCACTTTCTGTGGCCGTTTGCGGTCCGATACGCTGCGCATCAGCTCAACCTCTGGCCCCGTGTCTCCCTACCGGAGACTTCTCCGACACTGCGTTGGACGGGAGAGGCTGGCGATGCGTCGCGTTTTCGGGTCTGGGGATCCCGAGCTTTTGTTCGCGACACGTCCGCGGACAAGCTCTCCCGTCGCGCTGTCCCCTGTGTCTTCCTTGGCTTTGTCCCGGACGCGCCTGGTTGGCAGTTCTACCACGCCACCTCGCGTCGTGTCCTGGCCTCTCAGGACGTCACTTTTGACGAGTCCGTCCCCTACTACCGCCTCTTCCCCTACCGCACTGCTCCGCTCCCCCCCCCGCCTCTCTTCCTCGCTCCAGGTGCTGAGGTACCAGACCCCCTCCCCCCTCAGGGTGCCGCTCCCTCAGGTGTGTCCCAGGTAGACCCGGGTGAGCCTGTCGAGGTGGCTGTCGACTCTCGTCCTGCTGGGGGTGCTGAGCCTGGGGGTGCTGCGTCTCGGAGTGCTGAGCCTGGGAGTGCTGAGTCTGGAGGTGCGGAGCCTGGGGGTGCTGAGCATGGAGGTGCGGAGCCTGGGGGTGCTGAGCCTGGAGGTGCTGAGTCTGGGGGTGCTGAGCCTGGAGGTGCTGAGCCTGGGGGTGCAGAGCCTGAGCGTGCTACACCTGGAGGAGCCCTCTCCTCCCGGCAGCTGCAGGAGAGGTACCTACAGTACTGCCGCCTCCGGAGAGGTGCTACTGGAGCTCGTACCAGTACTTCCCCTCCTGCCCAGGAGCTCCCCCCCATTCAGCAGATCCGAGAGTGGTACACGCGGCGCTGCAGTCTTCGGAGTGGTGCTCCTGGTGCTGCGGACCCTGGGGGTGGCGCTGCTACTGGTGCTGAGGACCTGGGCGTTGGAGCTGCTGCTGGTGCTGAGGACCCGAGCGGTGGCGCTGCTGCTGGTGCTGCGGACCCGGGCGTTGGAGCTGCTGCTGGTGCTGCGGACCCGAGCGGTGGCGCTGCTGCTGGTGCTGAGGACCCGGGCGTTGGAGCTACTGCTGGTGCTGAGGACCCGGCCGGTGGAGCTGCTGCTGGTGCTGAGGACCCGAGCGGTGGAGCTGCTGCTGGTGCTGAGGACCCGGACGTTGGAGCTGCTGCTGGTGCTGAGGACCCTGCCACTGGTGTCTCTGCTGGTTCTGGAGACGCTGCGCGGCCGCGACCGTACTTCGTACCACTTCTTCAGCAGGTTCTTGGTCAGGCTCCTCCTCCTTGTCCTCCTCCCTCCGTAGAGTGTCCTCCGCCTGTCCAGTCGCAGTCACAGTTCCCGCCTGCCTCGCCTCTCCCTGGTCCCTCTCCTTACACTGGTCCCACAGGAGGTCTTACAGAGCGTCGTGAGCCTGAGTCTCGTCCTGCGTCGCCTGTTCGTACTGCTCGCACTGGTCGTCGTGTCCCACGTGAGCGTCCTCCTCCTGTCCCTGGCACTCACTACATGACTCTGCGTCCCTCCACTGCTCCTCAGCGTGTTCCGCTGCCGTCTCCTCCTGCGTCCTCTCTGCCTACTCTTCCTGATCCGGAGTCTGACTCCCGTCGTGCTGCCAGTCCCACTGTCACCCGTCTCCTCGCTACTGTTGTCACTGACCCTACCTTTGAGTCCTCTGCTGCGTCTGCTCTGGTCGCTGAGTTGATAGACTTTGCTGCCCGGTGTCGTCTAGACTACGCCACTAGCCTTGTTGCTGAGTCTGAGTCTGAGTCTGTCTGTCCTCCGTCCGTCGGGGGTGAGTGTGCTCTTGGCACGGACGTCCTTGAGGACAGACAGGAGGAGTTCCAGTGCTTTGCTGCTGCTTTACCCCACCTCGTGTCCATGCTAGTTGCCCCTGAGGGAGACCCGGATGCACCAGACATGGCTTGCCGTTTTTCTTCTACCAGGTAATGTGGCTGCGCTTGTCTGGGCCTCTTGCCAAGCCAGCAAAGGCGTGGAAGGGTTGCGGGCATCATTGGTCATCGGCCCTTGAGAATGAAGAGCGCCCGCTGCACTTCCTTCACATGTGCGGATCCTAGCGCGTTTTGAGGCCAGAAGCGCTCGCAATGAGCGTTTTTCTTCTACCAGGTCACGTGGCTGCGCTTGTCTAGGCCTCTTGACAAGCCAGCAAGGGCGTGGAAGGGTTGCGAGCATCATTGGTCATCGGCCCTTGAGAATGAAGAGCGCCCGCTGCACTTCCTCCACATGTGCGGATCCTAGAGCGTTTTGAGGCTGAAAGCGCTTGCAATGAGCGTTTTTCTTCTACCAGGTCACGTGGCTGCGCTTGTCTAGGCCTCTTGCCAAGCCCGCAAGGGCGTGGAAGGGTTGCGAGCATCATTGGTCATCAGCCCTTGAGAATGAAGAGCGCCCGCTGCACTTCCAGCACATGTGCGGATCCTAGAGCGTTTTGAGGCTGAAAGAGCTCGCAGTGAGCGTTTTTCTTCCACCAAGTCACGTGGCTGCGCTTGTCTAGGCCTCTTGCCAAGCCAGCAAGGGCGTGGAAGAGTTGCGAGCATCATTGGTCATCGGCCCTTGAGAATGAAGAGCGCCCGCTGCACTTCCTGTACATGTGCGGATTCTAACGCGTTTTAAGGCTAGAAGCGCTCGCAGTGAGCGTTTTTCTTCTACCAGGTAACGTGGCTGCGCTTGTCTAGGCCTCTTGCCGAGCCAGCAAGGGCGTGGAAGGGTTGCGGGCATCATTGGTCATCGGCCCTTGAGAATGAAGAGCGCCCGTTGCACTTCCTGCACATGTGCGGATCCTAGCGCGTTTTGAGGCCAGAAGCGCTCGCAATGAGCGTTTTTCTTCTACCAGGTCACGTGGCTGTGCTTGTCTAAGCCTCTTGCCAAGCCAGCAAGGGCGTGGAAGGGTTGCGAGCATGATTGGTCATCGGCCCTTGAGAATGAAGAGCGCTCGCTGCACTTCCTCCACATGTGCAGATCCTAGCGCGTTTTGAGGCTAGAAGCGCTCGCAGTGAGCGTTTTTCTTTTACCAGGTCACGTGGCTGCGCTTGTCTAGGCCTCTTGCCAAGCCAACAAGGGCGTGGAAGGGTTGCGAGCATCATTGGTCATCGCCCCTTGAGAATGAAGAGCGCCCGCTGCACTTCCTCCACATGTGCGGATCCTAGCGCGTTTTGAGGTTAGAAGCGCTCGCAGTGAGCGTTTTTCTTCTACCAGGTCATGTGGCTGCACTTGTCTAGGCCTCTTGCCAAGCCAACAAGGGCGTGGAAGGGTTGCGAGCATCATTGTTCATCAGACCTTGAGAATGAAGAGCGCCCGCTGCACTTCCTGCACATGTGCGGATCCTAGAGCGTTTTGAGGCTGAAAGCGCTCGCAGTGAGCGTTTTTCTTCCACCAAGTCACGTGGCTGCGCTTGTCTAGGCCTCTTGCCAAGCCAGCAAGGGCGTGGAAGGGTTGCGAGCATCATTGGTCATCGGCCCTTGAGAATGAAGAGCGCCCGCTGCACTTCCTTTACACATGCGGATTCTAACGCGTTTTAAGGCTAGAAGCGCTCGCAGTGAGCGTTTTTCTTCTACCAGGTAACGTGGCTGCGCTTGTCTAGGCCTCTTGCCAAGCCAGCAAGGGCGTGGAAGGGTTGCGAGCATCATTGGTCATCGGCCCTTGAGAATGAAGAGCGCCCGCTGCACTTCCTTTACACGTGCGGATTCTAACGCGTTTTAAGGCTAGAAGCGCTCGCAGTGAGCGTTTTTCTTCTACCAGGTAACGTGGCTGCGCTTGTCTAGGCCTCTTGCCAAGCCAGCAAGGGCGTGGAAGGGTTGCGGGCATCATTGGTCATCGGCCCTTGAGAATGAAGAGCGCCCGCTGCACTTCCTTTACACGTGCGGAACCTAGCGCGTTTTGAGGCTAGAAGCGCTCGCAGTGAGCGTTTTTCTTCTACCAGGTCACGTGGCTATGCTTGTCTAAGCCTCTTGCCAAGCCAGCAAGGGCGTGGAAGGGTTGCGAGCATCATTGGTCATCGGCCCTTGAGAATGAAGAGCGCCCGCTGCACTTCCTCCACATGTGCAGATCCTAGCGCATTTTGAGGCTAGAAGCGCTCGTTCAGAGCGTTTTTCTTCTACCAGGTCACGTGGCTGCGCTTGTCTAGGCCTCTTGACAAGCCAGCAAGGGCGTGGAAGGGTTGCGAGCATCATTGGTAATCGGCCCTTGAGAATGAAGAGCGCCCGCTGCACTTCCTCCACATGTGCGGATCCTAGAGCGTTTTGAGGCTGAAAGCGCTCGCAGTGAGCGTTTTTCTTCTACCACGTCACGTGGCTGCGCTTGTCTAGGCCTCTTGCCAAGCCCGCAAGGGCGTGGAAGGGTTGCGAGCATCATTGGTCATCGGACCTTGAGAATGAAGAGCGCCCGCTGCACTTCCTGCACATGTGCGGATTCTAGCGCGTTTTTAGGCTGAAAGAGCTCGCAGTGAGCGTTTTTCTTCCACCAGGTAACGTGGCTGCGCTTGTCTAGGCCTCTTGCCAAGCCAGCAAGGGCGTGGAAGGGTTGCGAGCATCATTGGTCATCGGCCCTTGAGAATGAAGAGCGCCCGCTGCACTTCCTTTACACGTGCGGATTCTAGCGCGTTTTGAGGCTAAAAGCGCTCGCAGTGAGCGTTTTTCTTTTACCAGGTCACGTGGCTGCACTTGTCTAGACCTCTTGCCAAGCCAGCAAGGGCGTGGAAGGGTTGCGAGCATCATTGGTCATCGGCCCTTGAGAATGAAGAGCGCCCGCTGCACTTCCTCCACATGTGCGGACCCTAGCGGGTTTTGAGGCTAGAAGCGCTCGTTCTGAGCGTTTTTCTTCTACCAGGTCACGTGGCTGCGCTTTTCTAGGCCTCTTGCCAAGCCAGCAAGGGCGTGGAAAGGTTGCGAGCATCATTGGTCGTCGGCCCTTGAGAATGAAGAGCGCCCGCTGCACTTCCTCCACATGTGCGGATCCTAGCGCGTTATGAGGCTAGAAGCGCTCGCAGTGAGCGTTTTTCTTCTACCAAGTCACGTGGCTGCGCTTGTCTAGGCCTCTTGCCAAGCCAGCAAGGGCGTGGAAGGGTTGTGAGCATCATTGGTCATCGGCCCTTGAGAATGAAGAGCGCCCGCAGCACTTCCTCCACATGTGCGGATCCTAGCGAGTTTTGAGGCTGGAAGCGCTCGCAGTGAGCGTTTTTCTTTTACCAGGTCACGTGGCTGCGCTTGTCTAGGCCTCTTGCCAAGCCAGCAAGGGCGTGGAAGGGTTTCGAGCATCATTGGTCGTCGGCCCTTGAGAATGAAGAGCGCCCGCTGCACTTCCTCCACATCTGCGGATCCTAGCGCGTTTTGAGGCTAGAAGCGCTCGCAGTGAGCGTTTTTCTTCTACCAGGTCACGTGGCTGCGCTTGTCTAGGCCTCTTGCCAAGCCAGCAAAGGCGTGGAAGGGTTGCGAGCATCATTGGTCGTCGGCCCTTGAGAATGAAGAGCGCCCGCTGCACTTCCTCCACATGTGCGGATCCTAGCGCGTTATGAGGCTAGAAGCGCTCGCAGTGAGCGATTTTCTTCTACCAGGTCACGTGGCTGCACTTCTTTAGGCCTCTTGCCAAACCAGCAAGGGCGTGGAAGGGTTGCGAGCATCATTGGTCATCGGCCCTTGAGAATGAAGAGGGCCCGCTGCACTTCCTACACATGTGCGGATCCTAGCGCGTTATGAGGCTAGAAGCGCTCGCAGTGAGCGTTTTTTTTCTACCAGGTCACGTGGCTGCGCTTGTCTAGGCCTCTTGACAAGCCAGCAAGGGCGTGGAAGGGTTGCGAGCATCATTGGTCATCGGCCCTTGAGAATGAAGAGCGCCCGCTGCACTTCCTCCACATGTGTGGATCCTAGCGCGTTTTGAGGCTAAAAGCGCTTAAAATGAGCGTTTTTCTTCTACCAGGTTACGTGGCTGCGCTTGTCTAGGCCTCTTGCCAAGCCCGCAAGGGCGTGGAAGGGTTGCGAGCATCATTGGTCATCAGCCCTTGAGAATGAAGAGCGCCCGCTGCACTTCCTGCACATGTGCGGATCCTAGAGCGTTTTGAGGCTGAAAGAGCTCGCTGTGAGCGTTTTTCTTCCACCAAGTCACGTGGCTGCGCTTGTCTAGGCCTCTTGCCAAGCCAGCAAGTGCGTGGAAGGGTTGCGAGCATCATTGGTCATCGGCCCTTGAGAATGAAGAGCGTCCGCTGCACTTCCTGTACATGTGCGGATTCTAACGCGTTTTAAGGCTAGAAGCGCTCGCAGTGAGCGTTTTTCTTCTACCAGGTAACGTGGCTGCGCTTGTCTAGGCCTCTTGCCAAGCCAGCAAAGGCGTGGAAGGGTTGCGGGCATCATTGGTCATCGGCCCTTGAGAATGAAGAGCGCCCGCTGCACTTTCTGCACATGTGCGGATCCTAGCGCGTTTTGAGGCCAGAAGCGCTCGCAATGAGCGTTTTTCTTCTACCAGGTCACGTGGCTGTGCTTGTCTAAGCCTCTTGCCAAGCCAGCAAGGGCGTGGAAGGGTTGCGAGCATGATTGGTCATCGGCCCTTGAGAATGAAGAGCGCTCGCTGCACTTCCTCCACATGTGCAGATCCTAGCGCGTTTTGAGGCTAGAAGCGCTCGCAGTGAGCGTTTTTCTTCCACCAGGTCACGTGGCTGCGCTTGTCTAGGCCTCTTGCCAAGCCAGCAAGGGCGTGGAAGGGTTGCGAGCATCATTGGTCATCGGCCCTTGAGAATGAAGAGCGCCCGCTGCACTTCCTCCACATCTGCGGATCCTAGCGCGTTTTGAGGCTAGAAGCGCTCGCAATGAGCGTTTTTCTTCTACCAGGTCACGTGGCTACGGTTGCCTAGGCCTCCTGCCAAGCTATCAAAGGCGTGGAAGGGTTGCGAGCATCATTGGTCGTCGGCCCTTGAGAATGAAGAGCGCCCGCTGCACTTCTTCACA